GTTGTTCCAATCCACATGGCAATAAGTGCTTTCAGCCTTGTTTTCCTCTAATTTCACCAGAACTTGTGGGCAATACTCTCCATTCCATCTTGCAGCAACTGACATCTTTTCTTTGAGTTCTTCTCATCCCTTGGATTCGGCAAAATTGTCTAAAAAGTCATAAACCTATTGTACCGCTGCAATTCAGTTCCAAACATTTTAATTGTGCAAATTTAGTCATCAACCTTTTGATTGTTTGTCAATTTAATCCTAAACTTTTGACAATTTATCAATTTAGTTCTTTTGGCCATATCTGGTCCGAAATCGCTGATGTGGCGACTTAGTTATCGCCGGCCGTTCTATGTGACATGGCTGACGCTGACATAGACAATTTTTACAATTTTTTTAATTCTGATTTTTTTCTTATTTTTATTTCCTTTCTTTTTCTTTTGCTTTCTTTTTTCTTTCTACAAGCCATCGTCGGGCCTCGATGATGGCTAGCAACCTCCATCGGCCTTAGGCGAGGGTGACTCTCGCTTGATCTTGCAAGGGTGGCCATCACTAGTCTAGGTGCGAGCGTCCCTTGCCCTATCTGGCGAGGGCAGCCATCGCTAGTCCAGGTGTAGGTGTCCCTTGTCCGAGGTCAGAGGGCTATGGGAGGGCGGCCCTCACTTGAGGGTCCATGATGGCCGACGGAGGGAAAAAGGGAAAAAACGAAAAGAAAAAAAGGAAAGGAAAAGAAAAAAAAAAGGAAAGGATAGGAAAGAAAGAAGAAAAAATTTCAGAAAATTAAAAGAAATACCAAAGGTCTACACATCAGTGTTGGACATGCCACATAGGACGATTGACACTGACTAGATCGCCAAATCAGCGATTTCCAGCCAAAATTAGTAGGAATAACTAAATTGGCAAATCGTTAAAAGGTTTGAGATTAAATTGAAAAATCATCAAAAAGTGTGGCACTAAATTGGTACAATTGAGAGATGTAGGACTAAATTAACAAATCGTCGAAAGGTTTACAACTAAATTAACACAATTAAAAGGTTTATGACTAAATTGATCGCCGTACAATATGTTTAAGATTTTTTGGATAATTTTCCTACCTGGATTCTTATGTCCTTAAGCGTGAATATAGTGGTAAGGTTGTTGCTTTAGGGCATCTCCAAAAGCGCTTTTTTTTCAAGCCTTGCCCTTGTGATCTTACTCCAATTAGCATAAATATATCGGGCGCACATTCTATGTTCTGCCAAGGGCAAAAGCCTTTGGATATATGCGAAACATATATGCAATTTAATAGTGTATCTAAATATGCAAGCAACATTTACAAGAATAGATACATAACAAAGAGAAAAAAAGGATAACCTTTTGTTGATTGGATATTAAGGTCGATGCCTTGTCTTTGCTTTCAAACCCATATCATGCATTATATTACGCAGAAACCACGACCAAGAATCCTTTGTCTACCTGTTCTTTTTACATTGGAGATTATGATGACTTTTTTTCTTTCATTGCGACAGTGCCGACTTAAAGGTAATGTCTCTTTCGAACAATTCCATCATATTTTATTACTAAACAACTACCTTTCCGTTATTGAACATCTAGTCTATCATTATCATTAAATCCAATCATTTATCTTTAGGCTTTTGTGAAAGTTTATCTTCTAAATAAAAAGGACTACTTGGAAATCTAAATTTCAAATGTTCTTTGTGGTTCAACATCGATCTAATGTGCAAGAAACCTTCAAATATTTCTTTTTATTTGGAAATAGGAAGATACCAGTTTTTGGTGATAAACGAATTCAATCAAAAGGGAATGTATATATCCTCAAGGTATTAGACTAGCAACACAAATTAAGATTTTTTTTTCCTAGATTTATACTGTGCCTGTGTATAGAAGATAAACCCTTGTCGAAAAGTCAATTATTAAGTACGTTAACTCTATCCATTTTGACTTATGAAAAAAAAATCTAAAATGTCATTTTTCAATTATATTGAGGACAAGTGGTCTTGATTGATGTGGTGTTGAATGTGGCGTCGGATTAGAAAAAGACTCAATTTTTTTTTAGGACAAGTGGCATTGCATTAAAAAAAAGATCCGTATTAAAAGAAAAAGAAAACAAAAGGTATAGAGGCAGTAAAGATCGAGATAGGGTCGAGAAAACAACTACTGAGAACGTGAAGATCTTAGTGGGAAAAGGAGAAGATAGTCAACAGATCTTCAATCTCTTATAATACTTGAAAACCGAGGACGAAGATGACCACTCAACTGTCCACTTTTCCTTTCGCTGTGTGCCCCGTGAATATGATTTTCATGTTTTCGCGAATGCAATGATTTGAGCGTCATTAGATTCTTATAGGTTGAATTTCCAAGTTTCAATTTCATTTTCAATTACAACACTTTAATTTCGATTTCACGCTTTAACTATATTTTGTTTGACTCAGCAGTGGCATGGCAACACTTTGAGCGACTTTATGTCAATATTGCAATTGTGTCGTGTGATCTAATTCAATCACGTGCAAGAGTTACGACCTAAGTTGTTTTGCCAAATTTTGTGTAGTCACATTTATGTGCACAAAATTTGCTGCCACAATTCTTATACGTGTGTATGGGTGTGAACTTAGTTTAAAGGATGTTCTTGAGTTAGTTTTAAACTACTTGAACGATTAGGTGACTAGCAATGTTACGACTCAGCTCGATCACGAGGAAGAATTGTGAAATATGTTCAACAAAATGAAGATTGGGGGTCAAATTAACATTGAAGTTTATAAACTAAAATATCTATGTTTAAATTTTTGGTGTTGATCAAAACTTTAGAATCGTGTATAAATTTTCTTAATAAAAAAGAATTTAGCATTTTACTTATTGACCTCACTAAAAAATAATCCTAGCCCCGCCATTGCTAGTCGAGAAGTTTAGTTTTCTTTGAATTTTCACATACATTTTTGCAAATCCATTTTAATTTGAGAAACATGGACTTGATAATTTCATCAGTATCTGGTCGAATTAGAATCGGAATTGCTTTTCCAAATCGTCTGAAATTTTGCAGGACCCACAGCTTTCCAGGATTCACGCCCCTTGCAATTTTGCAGGACCCACAGCTTTCCTGGATTGACTCGCGCAGAACAATGTTCCTGACACGACTGCAGGACGATGTGTCTGAGAATGAATTCTGTGGTGGCTGTTTTTTCACGCGCGAAATATATTTTTCTTTTCGAAGAATTGCTCTTGGCCACATGATGTTCACGGACAGCTAGAGAAGGAAAGATCTCCAAGTTTCTGGCTGCGCTATAAATCTTTGGAGAGGAGGGACCCTGTAAAAGAGTTCAACCAGACCATCGTTAACATCTGAGGAGACGATGTTCGAATTTCAGAGCCTAAAGGTGGATCGCGATCACGTGAGTATCACTATCGAGGATGATGAAATCTGGGAGCAGAGAAGGGCCAGGTTGAAAGCACTGGAGTGTTTGAACGAACCCCACCACCCAGCAGAACTCAAATGGCGTGTAAGCCCGCGGCTGCAGGCCGCCGCGAGAGACGGCGACGTCGACAACTTCATCGAAGCCCTCGAAAAGTATTCCGCCGAAGAGAGGGTCCGTTTGTCCGAGATCATAGACATACAGGGCCCTTCCGGGAACTCGCTGCTCCACCTCGCGGCGGGCATCGAGAACGCCGACATCCTCCGAGCCCTCCTCGAGGTCATCCGCGACGAGCGGCGCACCACCAAGGCGAACTTCCGGGGGGACACCGCGCTCCACGTCGCGGCGAGAGCCGGGAGGATCCACACGGCCAAGCTCCTCCTCGACTGCGACGGGATCGCGGACATGGCGAACGACGCGGGCAACACGGCGTTGCACGAGGCCGTGAAGAACAGTCACTGCGAGTTGACCCGTCTGCTGCTGCATCGAGGGTCGAATTTGGTGTACCAGGAGAACAGAGAGGGTAAGTGCCCGCTGTACCTGGCAGTCGAGATGGGAGACTTGAGGAGTCTTGTGCTCTTGATGGAAGCGGTGGATGGGGAGAAAGTCTCTTTATTGGAAGGCATGTCGCCGGTTCACGGAGCCGTGATTTACAAAAGGAAAGGTCAGTGATTGTACTTCTGGCTCTCCCTCCGGCAATTATATTAGTCGGACCAGACACATTTATAAGTGTCTACTTTATGGTTCCACATGAGCCGCTGAACGTTGATGCCCCCCATTCACAAAGCATTTTCAACTCTACTTGGGTATTAATTTTGACCCTAGCCATTTTTTTTTCTCATAAGAAAGTATCAACATTAGGTCAATTGGTACTCAAATCTAGCCTTTCTCTAGTTTCCGTTTAGTAATGCCGTTAAAGATTCAATGTTCCATTCTGCAACAAAAACTTGATGGGGCTGGATTTGAGTGTTGATTGATAGTGAGTACTTTTTTATGAGACAAAGCAAAGGTTGGATCAAAATTGAGACACGAGCTCGAGTTATTAGACAAAAATAAAAGTTTGGGTAAAAATCGGAATTCGAGCAAAATTTGTGATTTTATGTGAGATAGAAAAAAAGTTGTGGGTGAGAATTGAGAATAGATATGAGGGTTGTACTTTTTAGAGCCTTCATCAATTACTAAAAATTTCCTATATATTTTGGCCCAGAAGGGACACAGATTACCGTACCTTTTGACTTGGGTCGTGGCAAGATTTCCCCCAGAAAAATATTATAAATTTAACATTTTGGTAGCCAATACTCATAGTATAAGCCATTTTAGATACTACACTACTATTTTTGTCCGGCGACCTTTTGTAAAACAGGAAGAGAGTCATGTCATGGCTGCCCTTGATTACTCAAATGCGGTAAACTACTACTTGAAAATGAATGTTTTTACGCTTTGAAGCATTCTCCCCAAAACTTTAGATTTCAATTATGTATTCCATGTAATATCGCATTTTTCATTTCATTATAAGAAAATATAATAGTGAGAGGGTAAAGTTACCAGACCCTTGGTTACGAGCATGATACAAATTCATTCATTTGTTGTTTTGTAATGATGTAGAAATGCTGAAAGAGATGTCAAAGCGGAAGAAAGAGCTATTTTATTTAAAGGATGCTGGAGGTGGTACTTCCCTCCATCTAGCAGCATATGTGAATTACATCGATGGAGTCAAATTCTTGGTCGATGAGTTCGCTTCGAGCGCCGTTGAATACGACAAAGAGGGTTATCTTCCAATTCACGTCGCATGCAAGATGGGTCATCTCGAAACAATCAAGGAGCTGCTTCAACATTGGTTAGATCCAGAAGAGTTGCTAAATTTTAAGGAAGGGCAAAACATACTTCACGTTGCGGCAAAGTACGGCAAGGCCTCCATAGTGAAGTACATACTCGGTAATCCCGAGCTCGAGAAGCTAATAAATGCGAAAGACAAGGAAGGAAATACGCCTCTACATGTGGCCACATTGCAATGGCAACCCGACGTTCTGCTCTCTCTCACCCGGGACAATAGAGTCAATCTTAAGCTCGTAAACAACGGCAACTTGACGGCTCTTGACATTGTAGATGCGCAACTGAAAAAGATCGATGCTCCACTTCACCAGGTAATGATCTCCACAAAATGAATTAAGAAGTTATCTACCTTTTTTTTCCAGCGTTGCTTTAGCTACTTCCTTTGCGGAAGAGACGAAAGTAATTAAGGTTTGAACTACCCCCGGTGGTTACCAAGTGGAATATCTACAGTCAGGTTATTGTCTTCTGGAGCAAGTCTGGGTATCACTTGAGAAGGTTTCATTTTTCTGAACTCTAAATCTATCTTCATGGATAATAAACGGTCTTTTTTATATGCTTGACCAGAGCTTGACACGAACAATCTTATTGTCTGCTGGAGCACCCAGAAGCAAAGAAAAAGCAATTTGCCAGCCAAAAAAAGGCTTAGGCCCGGGGATAGATTTGGAGCCTGCAGATTTGGATAGACTAAAGGACGAGGCCAATTCCCGTATGGTCGTGGCAACGCTGATTGCCGCTATGACATTCGCTGCTGGCTTTTCTGTTCCTGGAGGATATAACAACTCCGAACCAGATGCGGGAATCGCTACGCTGTTGAACAAACCCATGTATGACGTCTTTGTGATCTGCAACACTGTCGCCATGTTCAGCTCGATAATTTCAGTTGTGATCCTTCTTTGGAGACAGATCAACGATTCGCATGCTGTGCTTCATGCCCTTGGAAAGGCAAGGCTACCGCTGCTCGTAGCTCTTGCCACAATGTCCGTGGCCTTCATGGCAGGGATCTATGTGACCGTAAGCAAACGCACTTGGATTGCCGTTGTCGCCTTGATCATTGGAATCACTGCCCTCTTCGTTATCTTGAGTCTTTACATGGCCTTGTTCGTTCCGCTTGGGTACAATTGTCGTCTTGTACAGCTCTTCGCCGACTACATCATTAGAGCTGGTATATCAATTTCAAAAAGTGTGACCGTAGAAAGGGCCACGTGGCAGCCTGAGTATCCTCTTGGAATCCTCAAACCTTGTGCTGGATCTCCCAAAATTGATTCGGCACCATCAACAAATGTCGCTGATGAAAAAACCCATAGCGTTGAGGCGGATTAAGTTATGTCTCGACCCAGGTGGATGATATAGATCGGTTTGTTAAATCATAGGAAAGAAATCCAATTATCTGGAAGGGCATATAACTATATATGTTGAGGTTTGTTTTGGTTATGTGGGATAAGTATCTAAGTTTGACCGCACAAAGAAATTCAAAGAAAAAGAGCTTCCACTACGGATAAAACAAAAAGGAAAATCTCTGTGGCACTACAAAACAAAATTAGGGGCTCCATGTTCTATTATGATATCTATATATATACATACACTTTTACAGGTTGAGAAGTCTTTGTGAGAGAGAGAAACAAAAAGCAAGGGTTTTGCTTTTACTCTTCTTACCTGCAGATGCCGCACACAGGGAAAAAGAAAAGAAGCCAGAGACGCTTCTTGGACTGCCGCAAGTAAAGTTTTTGCTTTGGGCCAGAACACTTGGCGATTTGTACTGTAAGTTTTATATTTGTTTTTTGTCAACACTTTTAGTTTGGGTTTAATCAACATGTGGGAAGTAAGCGATCGAAATTCTGATTTCCGATTATAGTTGATTATTTGCTATTGGCTCTCCCCATGAAGTAGATACTGACACTCGGATCAAATTACGTAAATCTCTGGTGTCCTATTAATGTTCCTCGTTTATTTATCTGGCGATTTCACATTGAATAAATTGCAAAATCCTGCTAGTTTCTGTGTTATGTGATCACTTTACTTTTAAATTTATATTTGCCTCAATTATGGCGCTTAAATTCAAAATCATGAGAAACAATGCAATCGTAATTTTCTTTGCAACTTCTCTTGAATTCCATGAAAGATTCTAAATGAGAGAATTATACATTTAAGAGATACGAGAGATTAGCAATAATTTGTAAAACACTCTCCCCTGTTCTCTATAATTATTTCACTCAGTGCAAGATCTTCTCTTGGATAAAAAGAAAAATGTCTCTTCACTCAAAATGGTATATTTTCAAATGGAATTCCACTGCCTATAACCGTTCAAGTCAGACTTCAAAAGTGTTAAGATTCGGCACATAATCACAAGAAAATAGAGAGTACAAGCGACAAAAAGAAATCAAGACACAAGGTTTTTATCTTGGTTCATTATTAAACTAGGGCTACGTCCATCAGAGTATTACACTATAATTAGAACCTCGCACATCTCTATTACATCTCTTAATTACAAGAGAAATAGATTATATATATTCAGTAGATATTCATAGATCCAAGCTCAAACTACTAATAAAATAAATGCCCATATTATGAAGGCCTTCTGGCATTGTTGGGCGCTCCTCCCTACGACCCCCGCTCGCTCACCGAGGAGCGGGACCCCGTGTTTTCCTGTCAGTGGGAAGTATGAACCACACCCCAACAGAAATGACATTAGAAAATATAGAGGCTACTAATTATTCTATTGGTTCTCTGAATGCTCGTGGTCCTGATAAGCGATAAGTATACGTGGCCTCAATTTGTCTATCGCAGTATAGGATTAGAAAATTCAGCAACTTTTGTTAACAAAAAAAAAAGACTCCTTTCACCACTAAATCATATGGTAAACAATTTCGTACCGCTTAATTCACTGGTGGCCTTGGATTCAGAAGGACGAAGGATTTGAAGAGCGCGCTGTTTTCTAAACTTAGTTTGATGATGTCAACTGACCACATCAAGCTCTGGTTCGGATTTTTAAGGTTAAACATCGCAGACTCTCTTGTATGGAAAGACACAATCCAGATAGAGAGATCGTCTCGAAATGCACTTATCTGACGGTTGGATAGGGTCGTGAAATTAACATCTGGATCGAACCTCAGGTTCCTTTCATTTCTAGGCTTCAAACCTTCACCAAATTCTGTAGGCCTAGCGATGAACTCGAAACTAGATAACAATCCGATGAAACATCGACTTAGCTATTTCTTTAGATCACTCTATCAGTGTGTAAATTACTTGGAATATGGAAATGCACCACGAGCTGACTTAAGATCTTAATAAGCAAAATTGCCTGGCAAGTGCTTACATCTTAATGCTTGCTGAAAAAGATCAGTGACTGTTAAAGATGACATATTCCTTGAGTTATGCTTAGGACAAGTCCTCCATGGCCCATCAGAATTAGCAACTCGAGCAATTTGAACATAACAGAATGGATTAACATAGTACCCTGTCCGGTCCTAGTAATCACTTTGATTTGGAATATCATGATTCATCTTCCTTTTCCAGGGCCGCTGCTATTATTTTGCATCAACCTGGGAAGGCAAATGAAGAAGTTCATATTCAAAACCGAATAGAAGATCATGAAAAAGCACGGGCAACTAGAGAAGGCAAATGACATCACACCCTTTTGGTGAATCATAGTCAAAGCAGGTGTGCCCTGTCAAATTTGCTCCTATGGTTATGGAGGATAGCAGTGAGAATACGATAAGGTTTTTCTATGTTCAGTGCGGAGATTGAACAAGCATTCTCTTTGTTCAAATCCTAGGAAATGTTTTTGCTACTGTTTTTTCTTTGGAGTCTCTCATTTCTTTTTTTATCAATACCACTAAAGAATCACATTTTATTTCAGTAGCGTTCAGAAAATAATGAGAAGGATTCCGTAACATTTTATATCTGTCAAATAAGCCTTATATGTTGCCATTTTTCAATGAACCGACTCTAAGTAAATATCACAGAAAACATTTCACCTAGAATTATACCTGATCAATGGGCATGTTGGCTAGAGTATCGAACCTAAAAAATTTACAAGCTATGGAAATAACGTTTCACCTGGAACGGGAAAATTACCAAAAAAGTTTTAAACCTATTACACTTGTACCAATTCATTCTTAAACTTTCAATTTGGCCAATTTAGTCTTAAACATTTTAACTATTTATCAATTTAGTTCTAAATCTTTCAATTATATCAAGTCCACCAATGAATTTCTCCCATGCCCAAATTTGCTTTCCTAGACCTCTAGGTAAGTGACGACAGGTACGTATTCTACCTAAATTAGTTAGCATCAACATTAGATGTCATTGCGTTTTGAAAATGGGACTAGATTCCTTGGAGCCTATTCCCAACGAAAAGATCATTGAACTGCATTTACACGGTCTAAATTTAGGTGTCATTTGTCCTTAAAGGAAACCTTTGTGAGCTTCCCTTAAAAAAGAGGCAGCTATTAACACTTAAATTTCAACTTTTCCATCTAGTCATTTATCACATGAAAAATTTAGAGATCAACCACGATCCATAAACAAAAATATTAATATTGCATTCCATTTAGACATTTTAAAGCATGTCCGCATTGAATAAATTTCATTGGCTTGGTGGTGGATTACATGACTGAATTTCACGTGTACCCTGCGCACTACGTCTGAGTTGGAAAAGTAAAGCATCCAAAGCAAAGAATTTCAGCCAAATACAAGATGGGAAATTCGGCTCTTGGCAAGATTATGGGACGGAGCAAAAAGAAAAATATGGGCTGAATACATATGATTGTTGGCAAGAAAAGTGGGCGCGTGATTGGGGCAATCGGAAATTAATGAGAAAAATCTGGCCGTGATTGAGGACCACGTTCTCGGCAAGAAATTTCAATTAATAAAAGTGTGATTTCGACCAAAGGCTACCATGGAAAGAAGAGGTTAATTTCATGTTCTTGAAACAATAATTTCTGTAAAGTCGGGAAACTGAGTAAGGAATTCAAGAGATTCACGGCCAAACGATAGAAATTCTTGGTGGCATGTTAGAGAAAAAAGTCAATAATCCTTAGTCAATAAAAGATTGCCAATTAGCTTCTTACAGGAAAGTAAAATCTCCGTGATCAAGGGACTTCACGGGTACATTGAATCCGTCCATGGTACATGAGAGATTTTCTTGGAGCTATAAGAAGTGACCACCGATCCACTTTGCAAAAGGAGGCCACACTATCACGTTCTCAATCATTTCATGCCCACCATCTTCAACATACCGACGTCCATGATGATTCATCAATAAATGTCTCATCTTCACAGACGCTCACTAGAAGAGACCTGAGTCTTATCAGTCCATCAGTTCATGTCCCATATATCTCACAGATGTCCTCTTTCAAAGAGAGTTCACGTTCACATCATCTCTCTTGTTAGTAATTAAATCAAATTCATTTCAGAGGAAGTTGCCGATTATGCGAAGAGATTATCGATTCAGTGGATAAGTTGTCGATTTTATGATTGTTGATCGGCTACCTGGTTGTCGATTTACAAGTTTGATGTCGATATTTATTTGGCTCCCGAGACTGGTGCATGAATTGAGAGATTCTTTATTGTAGTTTTACTTTCAAAAGTCTGTTTGAATTTCTATGTCTAGTTTAATATTTTGTAAATTCTCGGGAATCTATCTCATTGGGATGCTAGGTATATTTATAAGTCATTTTAAAGTATTAATCATGTAACAATCCTATATAAAGGCAAGTCTCATGATCATTCCCGATAAGGTGAAATAAATAAAAAGCCTATTACGGTTTGTGATCATTTCTGATAAGTTTCCTGCACTCTTCTCTATGTTATTTATTTACTTTGTCATATTTTTAATTTCGTGTCGGTCCATGGCAAGTAAGCCATTCTTCATTTGAAAAATGCTTTAAACTCATGGTTTCTAGTTTGTAATTTCATTTTCCTAGTTTGATGTTCTAAGGAATTTGATTTTGTGAAAGGAACGTTTTTTTACCATAATTGAGTTAACTGACATTTGACCATTGTTGTGGACCGATCTTTCCAAGTTGTTATTCTATTGTCCATTTTTCTTAAATTCAAGGTTAAATTGTCACATCATGGCCAAATGGAGATTGTCGATCCGCACTCGTTCCCGAGCTACGATGGCCGATTCGAACGAGCAGACCACTCGAATTATCAACCTCAAAGGCAAGATGGACAATGACCTAGACATTCTTACTCAACTGTCCCGACGATTAGAGCAAATACTGGTCAATCCCCCAGCTCCCCTCGTGCCTGTGCAGCTCCATGCTGACCCATCGGCCTCTGGGCAACCTACCGGCATTGATTCGAAAGACAAAGGCAAAGGTATACTGATTGACGATTCCTCGGCAATCGCACACCCGCCTAACGATGGAAGAGACAAACGACTCGAGAAAATTGAGGAAAAGCTAAGGCAGCTCATTGGCTTTGAAGAGGATGTCCCTAAGAATCCTTCCCAGCTTTCAAAGGTCAAAGTGCCCGAAAAAGTCAAATCGCCGGATTTTAGCATGTATGATGGCACTACATGCCCTAAACTCCACCTGCGATACTATCCGATCAAGATGACACATTATGCCGAGAACATGCCTCTCATGATTCAAACATTTCAAGAAAGCCTAGATGGGCTTGCTCTACGATGGTACATTATGAAGAAGATCAACTTGATGGAGACCTCGGAGGAGTTGTCTGATGCCTTCCTCAAGTGAGTTAAAAAGATATATATAGATCACAAATGCACATAAACCGCACCATTCGCAGGTCCTAAGGTTAACAAATAAGTTCGTATGTACATCTTGTACCTGTTAGATAAATGCTTTTCAGGTTCCTCTTGCTTGTAATATCGGATGCAAAAGCAAGTTTGCTTTTTCCATGTTAACCACAAACTCATCATGTTTGTGCTTCACTTCACACCCTTCTCTGCCATTCCAATCCACATGACAATAATTGCTTTCAGCCTTGTTTTCCTGTAATTTCTTCAGAACTCGTGGGCAATACTCT